GAGAAAGTTACTGGCCCAAGTCACCCAGCTGGCTTTGTACCTAGGTGGGACTAGAACTCATGGATAAATTATATAGACCTGCTTAATCCAACCAACTTCAAAGCAGTGTTCTATTTTTTTCTACTTTCTACCGAGTCAGTAATACCAAATGTGACATTATTTCTAATAGGAATGTTAAAAGGAGGGTAGAGGATGGAAAATAGAGTAACTGCCATATTTATGGCATCATAAAACATGATAATCTTTAGTTTTTGAGTGGATTAGCAATCTCTTCATTAAGATACCTCCTCTTTTAGCCACATCACATCTTTTCTTTCATTCCCAAAGGTGTTATCCTGTTAGATCACAGGAGTATTCCCAATGCTCGATCACTCAGTCAGACAACCCTCTTTAGTTGTGGCCTAATAATCCCAAAGATTTATTTATTGCTGTGCTTATTACATAATTTGCCATTACAATGGACAACTCAGCAAATCAATTGCAAGGAAACAGGAAACAGCTAGACATGAGTCTACAATGCAACATTGTTGAAGAACCTCTCAGTGTCACCCTACCCTACAAAGTCCTGTCCTCTTTTCTTGTTATCCAAATTGTTAAACCACATCCCTGGAACTGAGCTTTCCTACTGGTGCTTATTTCCTTCAGCAAGGCTTTTTCTGCTCCAGATGGGTCCACATACACACTCCCTCATCTCAAGATCACTTCACACAAATTATGCAACCCATCTTCATTTTAGGTAACGTTCCTTCCCATAATCTTAATTAAGTTCCCTAGATGTAATAGGAAGAGGTTTTGGGTGCAGCTTTATCAGAGGCCCTCATGATGGTCCATCTCATGATATTGCCCATGGCCTCACCTTTGCAGATATTTACAGTCTTGATCTTCAGCCACTTGTCTAAATTACCAGATATTCTTTGTTCATGTAATCCTATATCTTGGTCCCCCTTGCTTCTTCCTTATGGAAGTAAAGCAAATATATTAGCTAATTGACAAGATATAATCAAGCCCTTCCTTAATACAATGCATCACAGAGAAATATAGTATATAGTAGATCAAGCAAAATGCCATATGAAATGAAAACATCAAAATCAAGAGAATTCCCAAGAATCTTATCAATCCAGGATTTACTCCCTTCAGTCTCACTGCAAAATCATTTGCATGCCTTAGCTTTGTTAAAATAAACAAAACTTATTTATTTTAAATAGGATGGAAGATGGGACACCAGCAAGTTTTGCTTTGTCATTATATCTCTGATTCATACCCATTCTTTCCTTTGACAGTAAAGCAGAAAAATTACAGCGCTGCTTTAAATCTGTATATTTTTTCATCTATGTTTCAGCTGCGGGCACAGTTCTGATTGTGTTGTTATAAATAGAAGCTGAGATTCATTCCATCAGTTTGCTCAGTAGCATGGGATAAAAGTACAGCCTGTAGATTTCACCTGCTATTTCGCAAGCTAGTTGCTATGGAATAAATACTGTCTGTTCCAATCACAGGGAGAACCTGGGGATAACTATTGTGTTTGTGAAGTTGGGTTAGGAAAGCAAAATGTGTCATGTTTAGCCTTTTTTGTATTGGTATAATATTTTATTTATAATATGTCTATATACAGCAGTGGCCAGCCAAGCCCAGGGGGTATTTTAGAACCACACCTACGAAGTTTATTTGGTACAAGATTTAAAGTAGAAAGAGAGAAGCATAAGAGAAATATCAGCCAAATACATACCCGTTCTACTGCTAGATCATGGAGAAAATCTATGTGGTCACTAGGAGTTGAAAATGGCTTGATGGCATATAATCAAACAATCTACTGCCAGAGGCTCCTTTGAGGTAGCAGGCAACACCCCCAGCTAGTCCAATGGAGTGTAGCACCTTTTAGATGGTCTATGCCCCCCACCTCCAAATGCAGGTGTCCTTGACTGACTTTTTTTAAAATTACATTTATTTTGATGATATGTTTGCCCTTGGGCCAAGTGACAAGAGCATCATTATCTGGGTATGTCCAGGTCTTTGCAGATGTGCTTTTAGGAAGTATCCTGGTATTAGGTAGAAGGTTCATCTACATAGCTTTGGGTCAATTTTCTACATTGGGAGAAGTCCAAATACAAATAGAGTGGGATAAGTGGAACAAATAAATGGGAAAAGAAGCAAACTACTTTTAGCCTGTTCATGTGATGAAAAGTCTGGCACCTCACTATACCTCCTTGCCCAATTGTCCACAGTACCAATACATACTGCGTGTACTGTACTTCTGCTTGGTGGAGTACAGGTGACTAGGGTGTAATCTAAATTAGACAACAACCAATCCCTGATCAAGGAAGGGGCAGCCCAAGTCAAGCACCTGGAGATGAGGCCAGCTGAATCAGTATACTCAGATATTAATCTCTACACCAGGGGAACTGGCTTCTCCTGCTGCTGGGCTGTCTGGTTGATGAAGGTGGCACCTCATCTTATGCTTAATTCCTTGCCTTTCTGGTGAGTAGACCAGTTCTTTGAGACCTCTCTGGACCAGGAGAGGATGGGAGATTGCCCACATGTGCTCCGGATGGCTGCTTCTCATGAGGAGACCACAGGACAGCGGTCTCCCATGGGTTCAAGTGCTGGAAGACAAAAGGATCAATCATCAAGCTGACAACCATGGTGGAACCTTTTCAAGGACTCTAAGTTTGCTAACTTCACTTCTAATCTCTTTCAGAAATTGCCTATTTAAATATCTTAAGGCTATTAGAGATATGTTCGGCAAGTTTGAAAAGCCAACCGGTGAGTCTATCTTCATTTCCGAACCATAAATAAATAAATAAATAAATATAAGTTTAAGAACTTAAAGAATTTGAAATAAATGCCAAGAAGCTAAATAAGATTTTGAACCAAGAAAGTTATAAACAAATTAAGGGAAATTGGAATACTGAAACCTTTA